ATGTCTGAGATTTTGCTGCCTATGGATTCTTCTAAGATTTTTATGGTTTCATGCTTACACTTAAGTCTTTTATCCATTTTGAGTTTATTTTTGTGCATGGTGTAAGTTGGTGTTCTAGTTTCTTTTTTTTTTTTTGTATGTATCTGTCCAATTTTCCCAATACCATTTGTTGAAGAGACTGTCTTGGTTCCATTGAATGTTTTGCCTCCTTTGTCAAATATTAATTGAACAAATGGCTTAGGTCTATTTCTGGGCTCTCTGTTCTGTTGCATTGGTCTATATGTCTGTTCTTGTGCCGGTACCAGGCAGTTTTGAGAACAGTGGCTTTGTAATATAGCTTGATATCTGGTATTGTGATCCCTCCAACTTTGTTCTTTCTCAGGATTGCTCTTGCTATTCGGGATCTTTTTTATTCCATATGAATTTTTGGAGAGTTTGTTCTAGGTCTGTGAAATATGCCCTTAGTATTTTAATGGGGATTGCATTGAATCTATAGATTGCTTTGGGTAGTATGGACATTTTAATGATGTTGAGTCTACCAATTCACGAACAGGGTATATATTCTTCCATTCGTTTATATCTTCCTTGATCTCTTTTTTTCTATGTCCTGTAGTTTTCTGAGTACAGGTCTTTGACTTCCTTAGTTAAGTTTGTTCCTAGGTATCAATTTTTTTGGTGCAATGGTAAATGGCATTGGTTTTTTTCATTTCTATTTTTGTTAATTCATTATTGGTGTATAAAAAAGCCATAGATTTCTGGGTGTTAACTTTGTATTCTACTACATTTATTAAAATCTAGTAGTTTTCTTTAAACTGACAAATGATTATCAAATAATACAGAAATAACAAAGATAGAGGTAAAAAAAATCACCTTAAACTTTACTATTCATAAATTGTTATTAGGTAAACATTTGCAGACATCATTCTATGAGTATGTCCGAAATAGGAATAGAAATATTTTCATTAAAATGTGGGATAAAACTATATCTTTTTATTTTAAAAATCTATTTTACTTTCTATAAATTTAATAGAAGAAAATGAAATAAGACTGAAAATATTTTTGCTCACGGAAATTATTTTCTAAATAAATAATGTTTCTCTAAGTGACTGCATCTATGTTGAGGGAGCAACCATGAAGAAAAAGAATAGCTGCAGATTTTATTTAGATATGTTTATAGTTATATAAAGGTATTTGCTAGAGACTTCATGAATTGGTAAAGAACATCCCACCAAAATGAAAGACTTACAGAATGTTATCTGAGTATTCACCTCACCCAAAGAAGTGATTTGCACGTCTGATACTCAATTTCAATTCCTAGCTGTCTAGAGCAGAGGTCAGCAAAAGTTTTCTGTAAAGAGCGAAACCCTGTGGGCTGTGTTAATTTTCTACTGATGTCTATCTAATAAGTTACTTCAAACTGTAGGTTTAAAAATGTCCACTTATTATCTCACTGTTTCTGTAGGTCGGAGTCTGGGTGGGTTCAACTGGGTTCTCTGTAAAGGGTCTCACAAGGCTTTGATCGAGGTGTTGGCTCAGCTGGGGTCTTATCTGGAGGCTCCGGGGGGAAGAATATTCTTCCAAGTTCATTCAGTTCCTTGCAGTTGTAGAACTGAGGTCCCTACATTCTTGCTGGTGGTTGGCTAGAGGCTGCTCCACGGTCCCTCTACCATGACCCACTCGTCTCAGCAACGGAGAACTTCGTGTTGAATCTCACTAATGCTTTAAATCTATTTTATCTGCTACAAATCATAGAAAACTCTTTGCTTTTCAAGAGTTCAAGTAATTGAGTTAGGCACACCGAGATAATACATTATCTTAATGTCAACTAATTAGTAACTTTAATTACATTTTCAAAATCCCTTTGCTGTGTTACATAACATAATCATAGGCGTAATACCAGGCAATGAAGGTCATGAGGACCATCTCAGAATTATGCCCACCACAGTCTGCCTTCTGACCTCCATGATTCAAATACAACCCACCTGTAAAATGTGTTCCCCCAGTACAAGGTTCCTAGAAGTCTCTTCCTATTACATTATCAGTTCAAAGTAATAAGTCCCTATTCTTGAATCTAAATCTCATCATCTCAAAGTCCAAAATCTTATCCAAATTACAGCTCCTGATGTAATCCATGAGCACAACTTCTTCCTATTTATGAACCTATGTAACTAAAGAAGTTAGTTATTTGCCACAAACACTTCCAACATTTAAAAAACAAAAGGTGAGAACATAGCATATCCCTATGGGTTTGTAGGATAACACTTTAGTAGGGAAATTGATAATTTGTTATAATTTTAAATTTTAGGATTGATAATTCAGAAAATGCCTTTAAAAAATTAAATCAGGAATTAGAAGAGAGAAAAAAGTGAAGGCCAATTAAACATTCTGCCACTCTTAATGAAAATATTTAAAAATCACATTATTTGGTCCAAGTGGCCAGTAGGTAAAATGGTATGGGGTTCTGATATGATCAAAAGCTGCATGGTACAAATTCAATGAGACTCTAATCTTGGACTTACGCTTACACTTTTCAAAGCTTAACAACAACCCTAAAATGTTATATTTTAAAATAATGTATCAATCTCTTCTGAAATCTGTGTATTTATATTATAAAAAGTTCAGTATAACAGATGAGCAAATATCATAATTTAATTTATAGCACATCCCAGATTTTCTCATAATCTAAGTAACAGTGTGGCATAATGCATGTCCCTGGTTTAAATAAACAGTGCAACTCTCTGGTGATCTGCAATGGCTTGTAGGAATTTAGTTTAAAAATATGAAGAGAGAGAGAGACTTGTATGTGATCAGAACCTGGAGGAAAACAGAGAAAAGGGAGAACAGATGATGGTACTAAATTTAAGTATTCTTCCAGAAACACTACAAAAATCTTTGTATAAAAAGGTGGAAAATATAATGAGGTCATGCTTTTGAAGTTTTAAAAATTATTTCATAGCAGTTCTGGAATTATAATCAGTCCTGACCTACGCAGCAGTACATATTCTATACGAGCAAATAACATCAAACATATGGAGCTAGAGCGTACTTAATGCATCACATAGTTTTAACCTGGAAAGAAAACAATGTATTCTATAAGGAGTTCAGGTGATGTCATAATCAACCATCTAATAAATGTTTAACAAAGGAGCAAATGTTTAAGACACTGGGCTAGACCCTGAGGAGGATAAAATACGTAAGATAAATCATATATAATCTTCAAGGGCAACTTATAGATGAGAAAAAAATTATACCTACCTATTCAGGGCTTAGAAATTTTATAAAGGTATGGTTATTGGGCTTATCGGATTAAAATTGTGCATATCATAGACCTTGAACTTAAACTGTATTTGGGCTATTTGATCAGATACTCACAGAATGATTGTAAGAAGGTTCCAATATCACAGGTAATGACATTTTCCCTTGAAGATTCAATTTTGTTAAATAAAAAATCTTTTCCCCCACCATCTTTTCTTTTTTCATGCGATGTACACCATACAGTCTAAATCGAACTGCATAATTTCCAATCATCTCAGATTCAACATGGTTAAATTTGAATGTTTCTGTGAAGACAGGGCATGGTCCTCTCTGGATGCTGGTTTTTGCTCTCTGTTTCTTTATAGGTAGAAGAACAAGGTGTACTTGCCATGAGTTGCCACCTGTCCTGTTATATGTTGGGATATCTGTGACAGCTGTCACGGTTACCAGGAGCTTCTGTTCTTGTGAGTCATAGTCAAAAGTCACATCCAGTGTGCCATACTTGGCTTCGGGCTCAGGATCAAAGGGTTTGGGAAGCTGTGAAGATGATCCTTGAGCTGACATGTCCTAAGAAAAGCAAATTTAAATGTTTTCAGTTTTAACTGTTACTTAATCTGGCATGTAATTAAACACCTGGTCTGTCTTAGGAAGAGGGTGTGAGAACTGTTTGGTTGGCTGCCACAAAGAATGTGCTAACAATCAACAGTTTAGTATAATCAGAAGCTACTCTACAGGGCCACGGTACATGTGGTAAGCTAACCTCAAAAACAGCAAAAAAGAAATTTGTATTCACCATTACAATTTGGAGAAAGTTGAGATATGTTTTTACAATGAGGACTGAAAATATATACTTCAATGTGTACCTCTGGTCCTGTTGTAGGTACCTATTCAATTTTACTTCCAATATCATACACACTGCAACTGACAGGTCAACATTAGGCTGGAGAGAAAGAGCACATAAAGTATAATGCTACTGAAGAAAACTGGTCCCCTTTTCAGAGTTTGTTCTAAAATGCTCCCACCTATGATAGAATGTAAACACATGTAGGCTCGAAAATCCACTGGAAATGTGAAATTATAAACACAAAGAGGCCTCAAAATATTTGCAACCAAATACTTATTTTCTGTCACACACTAATTTCAATAAGAATTTAAAACTTGCCAAGACCGGTTTGGCTCAGTGGATAGAGCGTCGGCCTGCGGACTGAAGGGTCAAGGGCATGTACCTGGGTTGTGCGCACTTCCCCAGTGTGGGATATGCAGGAGGCAGCTGATCGATGTTTCTCATCAATGTTTCTAACTGTCTCTCCCTCTCCCTTCCTCTCTGTAAAAAATCAATAAGATATATTTTTTAAAAAAGACAGGAGACTGAATAGGTGAAGACAACTATCTATCGCGTTTAA